CTGTATTTTCAGAGAACATGCATCTTTAAGTTTCTCGGAGCTGTGGCAATGGATCTTGGCAAAGACAAGGTGAAGCCGTATCTCCCAGTCATCATAGCTCCTTTGTTCCGAGAACTGAACAGCACCTATTCGGACCAGGGTAACTCCGCAGCCTCCCTCTTGAACCCTTGCACCCCTCTCCCGAATATGTCCCTCTTTCTTCTGTCCTCCTCCCTGCCAGTTATTCTAAGCAAGAAAATTTGCCGGGTTCCAAGATGGTTAATAGCAAATTAATAAGGCATATTTGTGTCATATTTGACTACCTTCTCCTGTATGCTTTCTTGTATCTAAGAATGAATATTTCCTAAAAGATAATATTTTACTCCTAAGCAGAGATTAAATATTCAAAGAAAACTACCATTTGGGGTGGTTCTAAACCTCACAGTGCTTTGAACAATAATGAACAATGAAATGTCATTAGATTCTCAAGATTTATAAAACAAAAGTATGAAAGTTTTTAGTTTAAGTGTCATTTCAGTTTCACCTGTTTATCTTTTTCCTTGCTGGTGCATTTAATACATTTCCCTCGCTGACCATAAAATGTCTGTTGCCAATAGAAAAAGAGGGAATTGGGGGCTGGAAAGGGAGGTAAAGTGGATCTTAAGTTATAAATTAAAACAAATGGAGTAAATGTCAAAGCTAGAGCTGTTTTAGTCCTACAACCTTGAAGGAAAGTTTCTTTCCTCTTACGAAAAGGCAACAGTGAATGTCAAGTCGGCTTTGTTTCTCATCAACCAAAATTGATTGAGCACCTAATATTTGCAGGCACTGGAGGTTCAACAGTGGAATAGGCCTAGTCCCTATTTTCAAGAAACTTGCCAATGTAGAACAGATGGCCTGAACTCTCCTGAACTTGATGCAAAAATCTGTAGGTTATTTGCACTTGGGAAAAAGGAGGCAGGGAAAGGTGTGAGCTTTTGAGCAGCTTTTGTAAGCTTCTCAAAGGAGTCTTTGATCCCCCACACCCCATGCAAAAAAAGTTGTGGCCAGAGCTAAGCCTCTGTGACCTGTGAATTAGAGCCTAGAAAAACACGCTTACCTTTCCCCCATCTGCAGAGCTGAGCAGGTTAACAAAGGTAACCCAAAACATTTCTGTCCAGTTCTCAGAGTAATGTCTTCTGAGCCCAAATTCTGCCACTTCCTGGTGTCTGCCACTTTCATGGTGTCTGATCTCTTGTTGCATCCTGGATGAGGTGGCTGTAAACTGTGTCCAACACTTCTGCTGTTCTCTCATCTCAGAAACGTAGAGGCTAGTTTCAGATAGTTTCAGATTTGTGTTTAACGTCGAAGTAATAGAATTGATAATGCCGCAGTTTAAATTTTGCTTGTTGTTTTTGTAGATATTCAAATGTATCCTTTCCTATGTAACTAATTATTACTCTGTGTGTAATTAGATCCTTTGCTGAAGAATCTATCCCAGGAAATCATAGAATTACTCAAAAAGCTGGTTGGGCTAGAGAGCTTCTCATTAGCCTTTGCTTCTGTACAGAAACAGGCTAATGAGAAAAGGGCACTCCGGAAAAAGAGGAAGGCTCTGGAGGTAGGTTTGCTGTTTGAAAATATGGCATGTTCATTAGGCTTAGTAACTGTTTTTAACCAGGGCTGTGTGCATGTGTTTGTGTCGCACTTAACTCGGGGAGGAAGGAGGTACTGGTTGTGTCTGAGAAGTGAGGACTTTATAGCTGGGGCTCCAGATTGTCTTTAATGGGCATGTACTGCAGTCGTTGTGTTTAAAAGTCAACACAATGGTCCATTTGTGCATTTGATTTTTATTGGTTTAACATTTACTTTTAACATTTACTTTAGACATAAGATTTCTATTCTTTTTTTCAAGTTCGTAACTAATCCTGATATTGCCGCCAAGAAAAAGCTGAAGAAACACAAAAATAAAAGTGAAGCAAAGAAGAGAAAGATAGAGTTCCTGCGTCCAGGCTATAAGGCCAAGAGACAAAAGAGCCACAGCCTGAAAGATTTAGCAATGGTGGAGTGAAGTGCCCCCATGCTGACAGTGTCTCAGCTCACCCCAGAGCATGAACTTTCCAGTGTATCTGCTGGTGTGAAATCACAGCAGCGTTTATTATTTAAATTAAATTTTGGCAGAGATTGTATATTATTGTTATTATTATACAGTTTAATGTAATCATCTCATGTATTTTTTAATTAAAACATTTCATAATACTACTGTATCTTCACTGTCTAAAAAGCCTGTGACACTAGTGATATAATTGAAAATGCATTTTTTTTTAAGATACATTTTAAAATAGCAAGTCAAAAGTTAGAGGAAGTTAGGAATAAATCATATGATTTGCAGTTCCCTTATGGAGGCAATTGTAAAACTTTATCAAAAGACATTAAGAAAATTTTGCACAAATGGAGAAATATAACCATGTTCATGGATAGGAAGATTACCATAAGATCCTAGTTTTTCCTGGGTTGGATTTCATTGTTTAAATGCATATCTGAGCAAAATCCCCAAGAGAGTTTTTCATATTGTCCTAACAATCTGATTTTAAAATTTATACAGAAAATAAGCTGAGAATACCCATGATGCTCTTTAAAAAGAACAGGGTGAGGAGTTTTTCTTGTCAGATATCAAGAAGTGCTATCTATAGAAGAGACATGTGATAAATTCTACTTATTAAATTTAAGAACTCCTTAGGAAAAGAGAACTGGGAGATGGTATGTACCATATACTGATAAAGGATTACTAGTACTCAGGCTATATAATGAATTCCTAATGAATCAACAAAGATAATCCAGTAGAAAAAGTGGCAAAAGAAACGGGCATTGCACAGAAGAAATATAAATGGCCCTTAAACATTAACATTTAGATGATGTTATAGTCTTAAATATTAAAGTATCCTGGTTGGTAAATAGTCACGTCCTTGAGACCCTGCCCCCGCCCAAGCGCCACCCTGGCTACACGAGTCCCTAGGCTCCCTAAATCCCCACACCAGAAATTAAAGGCTTTACACCTGGACAAGTGGGGGTCCTGCATCAGCTATGCCTAGTTGTTAAAACATTTTGAATCACTCCCATATTCCACCTCACTAATACTTAGGAAAAATGCAAATTAACACCAGAATGAAATTGTTTTGAACCCTTTGGATTGACAAAGCTGACAATACCAATGTTAAAGCAGGGTACAGCAAAGGGAACTCTTGTAAACCACTCAGAAAACAATTTGGCATTATCCTGTTCAACCATAGGGTGTCTTTTGGTTCACTCTACACTCGATGTGGAAGTAATATTTAGTGCCCAATATATTGGTAAGGGAGTCGAAAGATTGATCCTATGTGCCAGGCACTTTGCATATCTTTTATTTAATCCTCATAGTATTCCTTAGAGCAGCCCTAAAATTAGTTATTTTACGGATGAGTAAACTGAAATTCAGATTATTCAACGTAAGGGTAACAGGTTATAAGTGGTATCAGGATTCAAATCTAGGACTGAAAGCCCAAGCTCTTTATAATTTGTAATTATGGGTTTAGACTATTATAGCTTATGGCATAGGAATCAAATGTACAAACGTTCATAACTTCATCTGCATCTTGTAGGTTTGTCTCAAACGCGTTCTCACACCTCCAAGGGATTTGTAATGTGCCAAATGGGGCATCTCGGATGGCCAATCTCAATTACCTCTTAAGTGATTTAAAGTACATGTATTGCTTTTGTAAAAAATTTAAAAATCAAAAAAAGTTAATGCTAAGACAAAGCTCAGAACAAACACCTCAGGGATTTTGAACACAGCTATGTTTGTGTTTTATCAGTAAATATTTACTGAGTGTCTACGTGCCAGGTGCACCACACTAAATGAAAGGAATACTAACAGTAAATAAAGTACGGTCCCTGCCATCAAGAGGCTTACATTCCCACAATTTAAAGTGCATTTCAGGTACTCTGGTAACAATTCCAACACTCTAGATTTAATTTTTCACTGTGATCATATAACAGCACAACTACCAACCAGTTATAAAACAGAATGTTAGAGCTAAAACAAACCTTTGATATTATTTGTCCAAGTCTCTCATTTTATAGAGAAAAGAAAAACTGAAGGAGCAGCCATCTGTACCTAGAGAACTCATGTGTTCTGACTTTTAAGTTTGGTGGTTTTCCCATTTTCAGGCTTCTCACAGAACAATGTTCAGTAGATCTTTATAAATATCAACATCTGAACTCTCGTAGCATGCCAGCAGTTTCCTGCTAGACAAGAACCTTATAATTTATACCATATTAAAATAAGTGTATGCTCTATTTATCCCATCCTGTTCTTTGTGATAAACCAGAAGGATCGGCATCATCCAAGTGCTGACCTTTGCTGCAGCTTCATGTGCCCTCCTCGGTATTCAAGACACAGGGGCTCCGTGCCAGATGGCATCTGCCTGCTAGGGCCTCCCTCTCCCCACCTGTTCTCACAGTGATCATGAACCTCCAGAGAGTACTTCGCCACCAGACACAGACCAAATTAGGAATGGGTGCTGGAGAGTAAGAAAGAGCAAAAGTCCCACAGGTGAGAGAAAGCCACATTTATTTGAGCTGAGGGAATGACCAAAAGTGTGAAAAGAGGCCAACAACTGGAAGTCAGTGGTGGAGACAGGAAATGAACCCCTAGTGTCCCTGAGACCTAAGGGGCATGATGGTCTTCAGTTCACTTTACCAGCATCTAATTTTTTAAATGCCGGTTGCCCAACTTAAATTTTTTTTAATTCTCCCCAATATTAGAAATTACTATGGACTATATTTACTTGTCACATTGCAGCCAATCCTACAGCAGACTGGGCAGTTTGAAAAGTTCCTCTGAGCATAATTGTTTTTTGATGGCCTAGCAGTAAGCCTAATTATTAAAACCAAGAATGCTTAATTTCTCTCTTTAGAACCAGGAAAAAAAAAGATTGACTTTTCACCAAATTTACATGCCCAGTTACAGGTATATTAAAGGAATGAAAGACAGTAAAGACATCTTTACAATGCTTCTTAAAATAGATCTTTTTTATTTCCCTCAGTGTGAACTTTGTCATGAATCCATCAAATATAACCATTTACCATTGTTTTTACTACCTCTACTAGTATGGACAAATAAATTTATAGACATTACTTTAAATGTACAGTGTCTACTTCAGTTAGCATAATTTTATTTAAGGAATTAGGTTGTCTGTGTTGGCATTTTCAGGTGTAGTTTATGGGAAAAGCTTCTGACCCTGAAGTATTTTTTGAAGTATTACTCATTAGCAGTTGAGTAGCCAACCTATCAGAACCCAAGACTCCACACATACATAAAACGAAGACATTATAACCTGTCCTATCTACATCATAAGGTTCTTGTACAAATCGGTTAGGTCAATATATGTAAAATTTTTTGCAACGACTATGAATTACTATAAAATGATAATTATAGATAAATCAGTGAAATTAACCACTAAAATAATTATTCAACTTCATGCCTATAACCAAAAGCTTTCAAACAAAGCAGCTTAAATTAAGTGGTCATTAAGCAAATGAAGATGTAGCCCACTCTACTGAGTCAAATTTTTGGAAAAACTTAATTCACTTAGGGGGAAAAAAATCTAAGATATTTATTAGTGTTTATGCCAACAAGCTGCAACCACTAATTCAAAAATATGAGGGTTTTTTCCCCTCAATAAGAGTACATTCTTTAATATGACTGTATTTGAATACGAATTCCACATAAGTAGAATATGGACTATATACCTTAACATAAGAAAGCAAGGAAGGAATATTTTACATTACAAAGACCAGACATTCAGTTGGTTCAATCACGATGAGTTACCCTTCCAACCAAATACTTATTTTTTATATTTATTACAAATGTTGCAGTCAGTTCAGTATATGCCAACAAACATACACAGTTCTAACATTTAGTAGTGTGAAGCACACTTAACGTTCCAAAAGGATATGGATGTGGTCTTCATTTCAGGGGAGCAGAAGTGACTGAATTACTGTCTGCTCTTTAATGTTTCAACTAACCTGTGAGAAAAGAAAATGGTTTCATAATATTAACTTCTTCAGGTATAAAGTATGGTCATTTATAAATTTTACATTGGTGCTGGATTCTAAAGCATTTTAAACAATGAAGGCTAAGATAGTGACATTAGAAAATGAGGTTGTGGACTCAATTTTCACAAGGGTCTTTTAGCTTTCACTTAGTCTATGCTTTGAATGAATAATCAAAAAAGACCAAATATCTACTTTTTAGGCTGCTATTACTACAACCAAGCCAGATGTGGATAATTCAGAGGTGAAAACTAGTCTCTGTCCTCAAGGAGTTGATAATTGAATAAGCAGATGCACAAATCAATTACGAGACAGTTTAACAAGTACTATATCACTGATTTGTGACAAGGACATCTAACTATGTGCGTGGTAAGGCAGTGGGTACAGAGGTATGTCAGGGAAGACTCTTGAAAGGAAGAAAGCCTTAACCTAAGTCCTGAAAGGTAAAGATTTGGAGGGTGAAGTGAGGCAGGGAAAAAGAAAAATGGCAGAGAGCTGGCTTATCTAACTCTAATAAGGAAGCTGTAGAAATAAAAGTAGATGCAAATGAAGACAAGTGGGAGAAAAGGCTGGAAGAACTTAATATTGTAAGCTGCTAAGTAATTTGAATTTCATCCTTAAGATGAAAGGGAATTACATGTATGTACACAGCTGCACTCACAGAAATACACAGCTGGCTTCTGGAGACACACTTACCATTCCATTGCCTCATCAAGGCCAGTGCCTTTGGTTGCTGAAGTTTTGAATATTTGCCACTTTCGGTCCTTCAAAGCAGGTAACCCAAGGGAATTTGCCATCTCCGAGGGAGTCATGGCCTGTTCCATGTCCTGCTTATTTGCAAACACCACCAAAATGGCTTTTCTCAGTTCTTCCTCCTAAATAGAAGATATTTAATTTCCTCTTATCAATTTGCTCCCTTGAGTTAGGAAGAAATGCCAAAAAATACATTATTTTAAAAGCATATTTCCTAATTATTAATATACAGCATTCATTATAATAAATTATTTCAAATTACAGAGACATACGAAGTAAAGAAGCTTCACCCATAATGCTATCTCCCAAACATGACAACTGTTAACATTCTAGGTATTTTCTACTGCTTTGTAGTTTAGATATTTAGTTTACTTAGTAAATAAATTTACACATTTAAAATCATGTTAAAATCACATATAGTTCCATACTCTGTTTTTAAAAAGAAACTAAATATTAAATCATGAATGATTTCCCAAACCACTAAAAGTTTTTCAAAAAAAATTAATGGTTAAATATACACTATGAATGCATGCATCATAAACTATATAACTGTTTTCCAGTATTAAACTCTAGATTCTTTTCATTTGGCTATTAGAGAAACCCAAGTGACAGTCATATAGAAATCTTTGTGTGAATCTCTATTTCCTTAACACAATTCTCTAAAAATGAAATCAAAGTATGAGCTTTTTTCAGGCTCTTGTTTACATGTATTTATGAACCGCTTTTCAGAAAAGTTGTAACAATTTTAAATCCATCCAAAGTGTATGACAGTGCCTATCTTCAATGCAGCCTTGGTAGAACTGGAAATTATATATGTTTCCAAACACCGTATCATTATATGCTTATAATTGGGGTATTAGAAATATGAATGTTATTAGTAATATATTTTTCTCCTGTGAATTATACTCATTTATCTATTGAGTGGCAGAAGGTCTTGATGTGAATAAAAACATTAATCTTTAGTCACTGGTTATAAAACTATGTCCTGGTTCCCTGGTTTTACTGTTATATTATCTGGCATCTGAGCTTTGGGGGTTTCTTGTTTGTATTAACATAATTAAACCTGTTTGTCTTTTGTAATTCCCTTTAATCCTCTGATTTAGAAAGACCTATCTAGAAATTTTAAACATATTCGCTTACAGATTTTATAGTTAATATTATCTATTTTCTACATTTAATTCCTTACTCCATTTAGATTTTTGCATATGAAAAAGATAGATTAACTTTGTGTCATATGTATGAATCAAGACTATTACATCAGAATTTATAGACACACAGTCTTATCTAATATTTACTGATTAATTCAATTAAGTTACTTCCTAATGAATAATTTAGTTCTTTCTCCATAAGTTTATATAAGTCAAATCCTAATACCACAAATAACCTGTCGACAATCCAGTGTAACTTGAGAACTATAAACTGAAGTTAATAATCACTTTTTATGTAATATTTTACATGATAAAAATCCATTATACCATATGAATTACATCTGAATAAACCTTTATTTTATAAATCCAATATACCCAAGGCAATTAAACATTCCCTTTAAATTCTTTATCCTTAAATTTGGTCTAAGAGGCTCTTGTGATAAATATGATGCTATGTTGTTTAGAAAAAAAACTAAGCCAAAGTTTAAAACTATTAGGTTTGCAATTTATAACTTGCTAGTCAATAACAAGTCAGTAGTACAAGAAATCAGAAATCCAAAGTATTCTGAGAATGCTTCTACCTACATAATCAAATGGCCTAGAAATTATATTTAAACATTCAATGATTGGATAATTCCGAATCGTAGTTTTCATGAAGGAAAGAAACCTAATTTTTTTGAGCAAAGGCAATTTCATTATTAATCATTAATACATTTGAAAAATTTATTTAACAAATGGAGATTTTTTTAAAACTTCTAATTGATTACTTAATGCATCATGGAATTCAGTCAGCCAGTAAGTTATCTTATGAACCTCAGTGAATATAATATATTGAGTTCTTAACTGCTATACACCATTCTACATACCAGTGATAGTGGGAGATATATATATGTGTATATATGTAAACAGATACATTTTAAAATAATGGAAAGAAATGATAAATGGTAAAAAGAATAAAGTAGAATAAGGGGGTTAAAAAATAACAGAGTCCTCTCTAGGGAAGAAACATGCGAGATGATACAGGTCAAGAAGGCAGCCACGCAAAGATTTGGGGAAGAGCATTCATTCTAAGCAGAAGGATGAGCAAGTGCAAAAAGCCCTACACCAGGCGTCAGGTGTGCAAGCTCGCTGTGTTCAAAGAACATAAAGGTAAGTGTGGATGAGGCACTATAAACACAAGGAAGAGTAAAGAATGATAAAGCTGGGAGAGGTGAGCTGGGGCCATAATTGTGCCAAAAATCCAAAAATACATATTTCTCTGAACTTTAAGGTTTCTGAAACAAACAATATGCCTTCTTATAATTTATACCCATATCTGCTTCCATAAGCTAATTTATACAACTAGAAATAAAGATATTTTTTAAAAATCACTTCTTAGAGGGACAGAAGAGTTACTTCAGTTTAGAAAGAGTTCAATTCTGAACTCCTGGAAATCAAGGAATCTAGTGTAAAAAAAATTACAAGGCTATTATTATTATTATTATTATTATTATTATTATTTGGGAATAGGAAGTAATGTGCACAAAAGAAAATGATACTAAAGGTTAAGGAGGAAAAAAATCCCTGCTTTCCTTTTAATTATTCCTGCATGTAATAATAAACAATGGCAAGTAAATGTAAATGATTTCCCCACATTTTAATAGTTTTCTTACCTCCAACATGGCAACTAACTCTGATTTAGAAATGCCAATTCGGTCTCGGTCACAGCTGTCTACTACATAAATGACTGCGTCTGTGTTTGAATAATAACATCTCCAGTATGGCCTAACGAAAACATGGAAAGGGAGAATAGATTATCATTTAAAAGAAGAAATGAATATGTTAATTTATATGCTAGGACTTGGCAACAATGGGGGGGTTACATGCCAATCCTCCCCACCCATGTTAGAATCAATGCTATAATGATGCATTGTTTCTGATGGATATAAATCATATCCCTCCAACACTAAGGGGTGGAAAGAATGTTAATAAATATTAAATCATATGACCAAGGAGTTTCAGAATGAGTTCAGACTTTATGCTGAGAGAATATAACTTATAAGATCACTAAATGTACTGATAAAAAAAAAGTTGTACACAGACCTGATCTCTACATCTTATAAATCTTTAACTAGGAACTCCTTAAGAGGAATGAATTCTTTAAAAAAATTTTAATACGTTTTATAATAATAGGCATTAAATTAATCACTAAAGACACCAAGAAGTAGAAATGGCTAAAATTAGAAACAGACTCAAAAGTGGTTCAAGAAATAAAACAAGTTAAAAGGCAGCAGGATGTTTGGGGAATGCATTAAATCTTTTAAGATGGTACCATAGTGAGCAACCACTGACAGTCATCAAGCATTCCGTCGCCATGTCAAGGACAGAATGCTGGGCAAGAGACCTGAGTTCCAGAGGGCATCTATGTTTACCTTGGCCCTAAATGGTGGTCCTGAAAGGGTTTTTTATAAATCCAAAATAGTCTGTCTCAAAGAGGAAGGGGCTGACAAGAACCAAATAGAGGATCCATTTTAGTAAAAAAAACAAAAAAAAAAAACAAAAAAACAAAAAAACAAAAAAAACCTACTAAAGTAATTAGGTCTTAACATTTTTCACGAAAACACTTTTCGTTTAAGCGATATCTGAAAAACTAGCTTCCTTAGGTTTTAATTTAATTGAGAGAATAGGCAGTTTTCCTTCATTTTAAACATTTTATTTCATTTAAATTACAAAAGATATATTTTGATTTACTGCTATTAACCCTATAAGAATCAATAAACATTAAAAATGACAAAATAATCCGGTCTTTGTACCGTACCTGATACTTGTCTGTCCTCCTAAATCCCAGACTTGGAATTTAAGGTTCTTGTATGTTACCGTCTCAACATTAAATCCAATGGCTGGAAGATAAATCAGATCAGTTTCTGTAGACTAATGCATTTTGCCTTCAAAATATCCAATCTTGTAGAGTTTCCCCAATGGACAGTAATTGTTGAATCACGTTATTGGTTGAGATACTCCATTTAAAACAGTATGTTGTCACACACACACACACACACACACACACATTAATTAGCAAGATCAGCACCACCTTCAGGTTATGTAAGAATTTAATCACTTCTGCAAATAAATAATTCTTAACTCAATGGAAATTATGTTAAACTCCTCTCATAATACACTACTAGAATATAAAAGTGTTCAGAAAGTTATATTTACAAAAGACAGTTGTAAATATATTATTTACAACTGTCTTTTGTAAATATTACTTTGGATTTTTTGGATAGCAAATAAACAAGGAACAAAACCAAGAAAGCCTAGATTCTAAGCTTTAGTGGGTGAAGACACCACAATGGATGGAGATATATATATATATAGATATATAGATATATCTATATCTATATCTATCTATATCTATATCTATCTATATCTATATCTATCTATATCTATATCTATCTATATCTATATCTATCTATATCTATATATCTATATATATATATATACTGCTTTATGGAGGCTGGGTTCTCTTAGGCTGGCAACCTCACAAACCCTCTGTGGACTTCAAGAGCTCATTTGTAATAAGGTCATAGCTGAATCGCCAAAGGGGAGGTGTCCCATCCCTTTTACCAGCCATCCTTCTGAGGTGGAGCTCTGGCATCACAAAGCTGAGGCAGGATACCACTATTTTCACTGAAAGGAATCTAAAGGAAGGTGCAGAGGATGCTGAAAAACTTAAGAGTAATATATTTCAAAGATTACTACAATTTTGCAAGCTTAAAAAAAATCATAGGAGGGGAAAAAATGGTGTAGACGATAGAGGCTCTATTCATCCCTCTGGTGACCAAATCAAAGTTGTGACCGTAACAAGAAGCAGCAGCAAGGAAAAATCACCTAGGATCTAGAGGAACAAGCCATACAACTAGGGAGAAATCCAAATCACTCTGCAATGGCAGAAGGTAGGATGGGGCGAGGACGCAGGGCTGCCCTGTCCTGAGCAGCTAAATGAGATGGAGGCTGTGGCAGTGGCAGACGCCTCTTAAAGGGGCCGCATCCACAAGCAGATTTTCGAGGTGATGGACCTGCTCACTCTGAGCACCAGTGCCGATTCAGATGCGCACAGGGGGCACCAGGGACTTATAGGGAGACGTCGTCAGAGTGAGGAACGAGGGAAGACTTGCTCTGTTCAGAAGTGCCTGCGGTGGCCATTTTCCCTGTTCAGCCCTCCCCCTTCCCAGTGCACAGACACAGAGCCGCCATTGCTGTGAGGTCATGAGACTGGACAACAGAGGTCGCTCAGCCCAGAAGGTTCCCTGAAACCCTGCCTCCCCTAACTCATGGCCCCACCAAGCCACATCCAGGTATATCCTCAGTGAGTCAGGTGCTCCTTGCTGAGCAGTGCCTAGACTCACACTGGAGGCAGCTGGCCTCGGTTTCTGGCCTGGCCTTTTGAGGCAACTATAAGCACAGCATCTGTGGATTGCTTGCTGAATCTTAACAGGTGGCCCGGAGGGGCAGAGGCTTGGGCTAAGTTTAGCCTGCAGCTGAACCCCTC